TTGTATTTTTAGTAGAGATGGGGTTTCACCATGTTGGCCAGGCTGGTCTCGAACTCCTGACCTCAAGTGATCCACCTGCCTCGGCCTCCCAAAGTACTGGGATACAGGCATGAGCTGCCACACTTGGCTATGCATGGCTAATTTTTTTTTTTTTTTTCTTTTTTGCAACGGAGTCTCATTCTGTCGCCCAGGCTGGAGTGCAGGGGCATGATCTCGGCTCACTGCAACCTCCACCTCCAGGGTTCAAGTGATTCTCCTGCCTCAGCTTCCCAAGTAGCTGGGATTACAGGTCCCTTCCACCATGTCCAGCTAATTTTTGTATTTTTAATAAAGACAGGATTTCACCATGTTGGCCAGGCTGGTCTTGAACTCCTGGCCTCAAGCAGTTCGACTGCCTTGGCCTACCAAAGTGCTGGGATTAGAGGAGTGAGCCACTGCACCCTGCCAGCTTTTCTTTTAAACAGATGGGGTCTTGCTCTGTTGCCCAGGCTGGATTGCAGTTGGTTCAGTCATTGCTGATCCTCCCGCCTCAGCCTCCTAAGTAGCTGAGACTGCAGGTGTGTATCACCACGCCTGGCTCATTTTTAAATTTTTTCTAGAGATAGGGTCTCCCTATATTGCCCAGGCTGGTCTTGAACTCCTGGCCTCAGGTGATCCTCTCACAAGACAACATCTTTGACAGCTACTGTTCATACCCTAGCACATACCAGAATGCTGACAGCTTGTGTTTGTGAGGCCTGTGGAATTAATGGAGGCATTTCTACCCTTTCGACTGGGGCCTTATGCCTATGACTTGGTGGGTAGGGGAGATCACCTCTGTTTATAAAGAAGGAAACTGAGTTTGCATGACTGTTCCTTAAGGCAGGTCTGCCCAGCTCCCGGAACACTCTGAAAGCCGCACACCAAACCGGTATCAGGTGCCTGCAGTCTGGAGGTTTTGGCCACAGCCCCAGGACCAGCCTTGCCCTGCGCCTCACCTGATTCTAGCTGAGATAGGAAGATGCTCGGTAGCTCAGCTTTCCTTCCAGGCAGTGCAGACGAGGGGGCAGGTTTTCAGCTGGGCCTCCCAAGTTGGAACCTTATAGTTTCCAAGGTTCAAGGTTGAGGTATCAGGAGGAAGAGCAGGGACCAGCCTAGGGTGAGGTTGTTGAGGTGCCCAGGGTGCAACTTTTTATTTATTTTTATTATATTATTATTATTATTATTATTTTTGAGACGGAGTCTCTGTCGCCCAGGCTGGAGTGCAGTGGCGCGATCTTGGCTCACTGCAAGCTCCACCTCTCGGGTTCACGCCATTCTCTTGCCTCAGCCTCCTGGGTAGCTGGGACTACAGGCGCCCGCCACCACGCCCAGCTAATTTTTTGTATTTTTAGTAGAGACGGGGTTTCACTGTGGTCTTGATCTCCTGACCTCGTGATCCGCCCGCCTCGGCCTCCCAAAGTGCTGGGATTACAGGCGTGAGCCACTGCGCCCGGCCTATTATATTATTTTTTGAGACGGAGTCTTGCTTTGTGCCTAGGCTGGAGAGCAGTGGTGCAATCTTGGCTCACTGCAACCTCTGCCTCCCGGGCTTAAGCGATTCTCCTGCCTCAGTCTCCCGAGTAGCTGGGATTATAGGCACCCACCACCACGCCCAGCTAATTTTTATTTTGGTCGGGGGACGGAGTCTTGCTCTGTAGCCCAGACTGGAGGGCAGTGGCATGATCTCAGCTCACTGAAGCCTGGGTCCCGGTTCAAGCAATTCTCCTGCCTCAGCCTCCCGAGTAGCTGGGATTACTGGCGTGCGTTACCATGCCCAGCTAATTTTTGTGTTTTTAGTAGAGATAGGGTTTCACCAAGTTGGCCAGGCTGGTCTTGAACTCCTGAGCTCGTGATCCGCCCACTGCAGCCTCCCAAAGTGCTGGGATTACAGGCATGAGCCACTGCCCCGGCCTTGCTTTATTTTTGTGTGTGCGTAAGGGAGCATGGTGGCATGCCCCTGTAATCCTAGCTACTAGGTGGCTGAGGTAGAATTGTTTGCGCCCGGGAGTTCGAGATCAGCCTGGGCAACATAGCAAAACACCATCTCTACAAAAATTAAAAATACAAAAATTAACCTGATGTAGTGGTGCATGCCTGTAGTCCCAGCTACTCTGGATACTGAGTCAGGAGGATCACTTGAGCCCAGTAGTTTGAGGCTGCAATGAGCTATGATCACAACACTGTATTCCAGCCCGGGTGACAGAGCAAACCCCTCTCTTAAAAATAAATAAATAAATAAAAAGATGTTGAGGTGAAAATCACATCAACATAGAATCAACCATTTAAAAGTATACAATTCAGGTCAGGCGCGGTGGCTCACTCCTGTAGCATCTTGAGGGGCCAAGGTGGGTGGATCACTTGAGGTCAGGAGTTCGAGACTAGCTGGCCAACATGGTTAAACCTCATCTCTACTAAAAATGTAAAAACTAGCCAGGCATGATGGCCCTTGCCTGTAGTCCCAGCTACTTGGGAGGTGGAGGCAGGAGAATCGCTTGAAACCATGAGGCGAAGGTTGCAGTGAGCCGAGATCGCCCCACTGCACTGCAGCCTAGGCGACAGAGTGAGACTCTGTCTAGAAAACAAACAAACAAACAAAAAATGTAAAAACTAGCCGGGCATGGTGGCCCTTGCCTGTAGTCCCAGCTATTTGGGAGGCTGAGGCAGGAGAATCGCTTGAACCCGGGAGACGGAGGTTGCAATGAGCCGAGATTGGGCCATTGCACTGCAGCCTGGGCCACAAGAGCAAAACTCCATCTCAAAAAAATTGTTTAAAGGCCAGGAGCAGTGGCTCACACCTGTAATCCCAGCACTTTGGGAGGCCGAGGCAGGGGGATCACCTGAGGTCAGGAGTTCGAGATCAGCCTGGCCAACATGGTGAAACCTGTCTCTACTAAAAATACAAAAATTAGCCAGGCATGGTGGCGGGCGCCTGTAAGCCCAGCTACTCGGGAGGCTGAGGCAGGAGAATCACTTGAACCTGGGAGACGGAGGTTGCAGTGAGCCTAGATCATGCCACTGCACTCCCACCTGGGAGACAGAGCAAGACTCCGTCTCAAACCAAAACCAAACAAGAACAACTGGTGGAGCACACGTCCCAGACTGGGGACTACAAGGGGCATGGCCTGGCGCTCACTTTTGCCCTTCCCTTCCCTTCCCCGATCCAAGTCCCACCCATGGGCCTGGGCTTGGCCAGGTGGCACAATTGAATATTGAGTAACACACAGATAGTGAACATCGGAGTTTATTTGTGGGTTGTGCAAGACAGGAGACCTTTGGAGACCCCTCTGTTATTTCCTTGAGCCCCAGGAACTACCCATGTCTACACCCCAAGCAGCAGCAGCATGAGAACAATTAGCACGCATCGAGGACCTATTGTGTGGGGGTCCCCAGAATGCCTTACATGAAGTCATGTGTCTCATCTGAGCCCTTGGAGACAGGGCCACTTCTTGTCCCCATATTACAGGTGAGGAAACTGAGGCACAAAGCGGCTAAGCCCTCAGCCATGAGTCCACAGCCAGGAACCTGGGTCCAGCCCTCCAGCCGTGCCTCTGGCCCTGGGCTGCTCCAAGCTTGGCACACATGGGTTTGAAATGTTCACAGCCCAAGGGGGCGCAGTGGATTTTGCAGAGTCTGAGATTTGCATATCAGCAGCCTGGCGATTACGGGGTTCAGGTGAGGATCCTGGCTCTGGTGCTCAGTCCTGGCCGTGGGCCCCCTGGTGAGTCACTGCCTCTCTTGGGGCCTCGGTTTCCTCATCTGTAAAATGGATGGAGACACTTAGAGAATCACTGCCTAAGCCCCCTGCTCCCCTTCTACCAATAACAGAATCTCATCCATCTGGATAGCCACATTTCCCAGCCTCCCCTGCAGCAAGGTGTGGCCATTTCGCTCTGTTCTGGCCAGTGGGATATAAAATGAAGGGTTTCAAGGCTTCCTGGGGAGAGTTCCAGGAGACACCCAGCCAGCACTGGCCTCTGACTTTCCCTCAGAATGAGGAGGTGAAGGCTGGAGCTCTGGCAACTATTTTGTGCCATGAGGCAACCTTGAGGACAAAAGCTAAGTATGCAATAAAATGAGAGAAAAATCAAGTCCTACTGCTACTGCAGCTGAACCTGAACCTATCTGTATGGTATCCTTTTCTTACACCAGGTCTCTATTCCTTATCCCTGGGCTCACACCAGTGTAGAGTCCTTCCCCGTGCTCCCTGGTCTATGGCCTAGCATTCGACGCATCTCATGGGTAACCCCGTCCCAGTGCCCCAGGCCGGACAGTGTCCGGTGCATTCGGGTTGCAGGCAGGCTGCTCTCCCAGCCTCCCCCCAGGGCTTCAGGTGCTGTGGCAGTGGCCATGGACACAAAGGGGTCCCCAGGCTCTGGACAGCTTGAATAGGGGGTCCGACGATGGATACCCTGCTGAGGCTGAGCTCTGGGGCTGGCCTTGGAGACTTCAGCAGGGCGGGTGAGGTCATCTTCAAAGGATGGCGGGGACAACTCATGGAGCCCACGGCGGGTGGCCCGAGCAGCCCGGAGGAGAGTGTGGGTCAGCACAGCCACCAGAACCAGGGCGCCCGAGCCGAGGATGGAAGCGGCTGCTGCGCCTGTCTCGATCTCGAAAAGTAGCAAGGCATAGATGGACAGTGCTGCGGAAGGAAACAACTCTCATTTATTCACTCAACAAACATTTGCCCTCCAAGCCCTCAGGGGGTTCTTGCGCACAGGGAGAAATCATGAAAAACCCTGCCACGGGACTGGAACATAGACTAGGCATCTAATTCTCCCACATCCCACACGTGCATCATCATCACATCCATTTTACAGAGAAGAAAGCTGGGGCCCAGAGAGGTTAGGAGACTCTTCAAAGCCATACAGTCAGGAAGTGACAGAGGTGGGATTTTAACCCAGGCTGGTGGGCTCCAGAGTCTGTGCTCTGAAGCACAGGTCTGCCTCCGAAGAAGACAACAGAAAGAGACTCATTTCGGCAGCTGTGGGCAGGGGCTTCCCTGAGGAGGAGCTATTTGAGCTGAGACCCTGGGGGAAGAAGTAGCAGCTTCTGGGAGAGCCGAGGAGGATGACGGCTGCAGGGGACACAGCAAGGGCAGAGGTCCTGAGGTGGAAACGCCCGAGTGTCTGAGGCGCAGAAGACAGCAAAACGGGTTCTGGCCGGGCTCAGTGGCTCATGCCTGTAATCCTAACATTTTGGGAGGCTGAGGCGGGTGGATCACTTGAGGTCAGGAGTTCGAGACCAGCCTGGGCAACATGGTGAAACCCTGTCTCTACAAAAAAATACAAAACTTAGCTGGGCATCG